CGGCGGCGAGCGCTCGAATTGCCTTTCGCTCCAGAAGCACGCGGGGGATACCGATGATGTCGTCGGTGTCGCCGGCTTCGACTTGGTCTCCGGTAGCGAGCAGGCATTGGTTGGGTCATTCCCGAACTGGGAGTCCTTTCATGGGGATTCTGAAGTAACTGTATTCAGCGCCGATGACCTCAATTTCTTGTGGTCCTTGGACGGGCGGCTCCGGCTCTTCGGTAGGTTTGGGTAACTCTGTTGGTTCTCCCATAAATTCGTAGGCTTCTTCTTCTTCTTCTGACTCTTTTTCCCTTTGCTCGGGTGTGTCAGGGCCGTATTGATCTGGGAGAGGTGGACCTCCCCAGCAGGTGCCGCGAGTTGCCCAGTATGGGTCGACGACGGCAACTTCCGCAGAAGGAAAGCCAGCTGCTTCCGCGTGCCTTCGTTCTGCTTCGGTCGTGGTGCCCCATCCTCCTCTGGCGCCAACTTCCTCTGCTGGAGCTGCTCCCCTCCAACTTGCGGCTGCTTCTTCTGGAGTTAGTACTTCTCCCCAGGGTCCGAGCGCGGGCTCGGAAGTGTTCCAGCCCGGCCAGTGGGTTTCCGCTGTCTTGTTTTCCTCGGTTGATTGAGTTGCAGGTCCTGACGTGCCGTTGTCTTCTTCCATTGTGGCAGGTCCGGTTTCTGCAGGGTTGGAGGTCGAGGCAGTCGGGACAGTGCGCAAGCGTAGAAGGCCGTCGGAGGCTGGTCGTTCGAGGTCCATCTCGTCCGGATGTGACCATGTCGGCGGCTGCGTGGGAGTGGTCTTCAGCAGCAGTGTGGGGTGGGAGTCGCCGGTGGTGCCCTGAGCCGAAAATTGCAGCACGAAGACTCCATCGTTATCGATCGCTTTTTCGATGTAAGTTTCGTTGTGGAAGAGCTCGAAGGTCTTTTCCTTCCGATTGCTGCGAATGTCGATTCCGCACCGCATGAGTTGAGCTGATGAGAGTAGGTTGTATTGTAGATCGGGGGCGACGAGAACGTCTCCGATGTGAATGGTGAACTTCGTGTCATCGGCCTTAAGATAGATTTCGCCAATCTCATATGCCTTCATTTTTCCGTTGTTGGCGGCCGTGATTTCGCAGGGTCGTCGCATGCGTCGTGAGTTGCTGATGAACCTTGGCGATCCCACCATGTGTTGTCCGCAGCAACTGTCCAGGTACCATGTGTCCAGATCCTCGTGGCGTTGGCGGGCAAGGTTGGCAATCTTGGGTGTGACGATGCGATCGAGGTCGCCGGTGTACGGTGAGAGGGCGAAATATCTATTTGCGGAAATGCTCGGCGGCGATTCCGGAGTAGGGGGAGGGAGCTCGAAGTCAGGAGGAATGTCTGAGGGGCGAGAGGACCAGGTAAAAACTGTTGGGTCATTGTCTGGACTGGGCGCAACGGGGTTGATGGGATTGTCGCGAGTGAATGTTGTTTGATCCCAGTAACGGGACTCTCTGTTGCGTCGAGCCATGCAGCTTATGATTGTCCCTTTTTCTTTGTCCTTCGCCGTGATGAGTACAGGGGATTGGGAAGTGCTGGCGACAGAAGGAGGCGACACAGTGGCGGAGGGCTTCGTCTGCGTCGATGGTTGTTGGCTGGAGGCGTTGCGCCACTCGTCAGCGGCCTGACGCTTGTAGCACTGGTCGATAGAGTGGCCAGACTTCTTGCAGTATTTGCAGAAAGCTCCCTCCTTTCCGCGTTGTTCCCCTTGTAATGCTCCTGTGTAGAAGACTAATTTCTCCCGTTTAACATTCTTCTCGTTGTACAGGTCGATTTCCTTCTGCTCCGAAAGAAGCGTGGCGCACAGAGCTGACTCTGATATGGTTGCTCGGGCGCGAAGGAGTAACTGACATTGTCGCCAGTCGAGGCCGAGGCCAGAGATGACCATCGAGATGAACATGTCGTCGGGGACAGTCCCACCGCATTTCTTAACTTGGTCACGCAGATGTCAGAATCCCAACCACTAGACCATTGGGATAAAAGGGCTTGTTTCAGTAGCGGGTCAGTGCGCCCATAACCCCCCAGGCAAACGCGCCTGTAACCCCCCCTAGGATCGATCGGGGATCTCACAGTGTAGCTCTACTGACACCCCCCCACACTGGGAGGCCCAGGACTGAGCACAGTGGCAACGGCCAACATGTGCATACACCGGGATTCGAACCCGAGACCGCTCTGATACCATGTCAGAATCCCAACCACTAGACCATTGGGATAAAAGGGCTTGTTTCAGTAGCGGGTCAGTGCGCCCATAACCCCCCAGGCAAACGCGCCTGTAACCCCCCCTAGGATCGATCGGGGATCTCACAGTGTAGCTCTACTGACAGCAGATTGCGGCACCGGTTGACATACGGTCCCGCTTTCTCCCCTTGCTTCATTTTAACTGAAGTCAGTTGGCTGAGTAGACGGCTCATCGTAACTGGATCTGTTGCCATGTATGAGTTGCGCAGGTGTTCCCAGGAGCTTTGCGCGGGAGCCCACTCCGTCTTATAAGGGCGAATGCCGAGCTGCTCTTCAGGTGAGAGATTGCGAAGGAGAGCGGTGTATGCGAGGAGGGATTCGTGTTAGTATTGATGCTTCTCCCGGATGGTACCTTCCGAGGGAAAGGGTAGACTTCCGTCGTAGTACATCCAGATCTGAGCGGTTGTCGCGAGAAGCTCGAATTCAAAACTCCACGTGTAGAAATCCTTTCCGTCGAAAGGAGTTGAGGTATTCAATTTTGAATTCAGTACAAATTTGGTTTGCATTGAAGCAATGTCTGACTGTGAGCGTTGTGGGATGTCTTGTGCAGGAGCTGACCCTTGACGATTGTCAAAGGTGAAGGATCTCTCGGAGTTGACGCGGCGGTCTTCTCCAGGGAGAGGAAGTCCAGCAACGCCACGTGCGTAGCTTGAGCCGTCAATGCTCATTGCTTGGTGGCTCTCAAGGGCGTTGATGCGTGCGACTAGTTCCTCAACGACAGCGGCGTTGACGGAGGTCACCGCTGATGGCGCGTTAGTCGTTGCTGGTGGTGGGCCCGGTGAGTCTGCAGTACCGTCAGCCCCCGGATAGAAGCGCCCCTGGGGTTATAAAAAAACACTGTTTTTTAGGGGGTGCGCTTATAATTGAGGAATTTTATAAGCGTCGGCGCTTATAAAATGGCAAAAATAATATATATTTGTTTTACACCAAACTGTATATCTCGTTCTGCCGATTGTAATCGAGTCGAAAACATATAGGTGTCAGAATATTATCTTATGTTCTAGCCTATAGTGGGGTGCTCTATAGCGAGTACAACCCTTCTAGGGTTTGCTATTTGTATCCTCATTCTTGCTAGTTCAATCCTCTTTCTTTCTTCTAATTTTGTCAATAGGGTCGCTAATCTGATTCTCGCGCAGCTTGGCAGGGAGTGATTCCCTGCCAGCTCACCCTGACAGAATTACAGCACATGCTGACTAGACGCGCAAAAAGTGAGTTCAGAGTGTGGGAAATCGAAATTGTAGTTCATTTCCCTGATTATGTGAAATTCGTTTCTGATATTTGAAAGGTTTTCAAATAAAAAACAAACATGCGCTTATAATATATCATCTTTTTCTAGGGGGTGCGCTTATAATCGAGGACCGGATATAAGTGCCCTCATCAGGCCCTCAGATTCACTTTTAGGGACGTTGATGCATCAGGGTCCCTGTGAAAAAAAGCCTGAATTTTCAGGGCTCCTAGAAAAAAAAAGCCTGAATTTTCAGGGCTCCTAGAAAAAAAAACCTGAATTTTCAGGGTTACTAAAAATAAGAGCCCGAATTTGTATACGAAAACACTACTGATTACCACCTAAGATTCGAACTGGTAACCTATCCAATCAGATTTAATTTCACCAACCTCTGAGAAAGTTCATCCTGTCAGCGAGTGTCTTATTTTATTTATATATTTTAATGTGGAAATGTTGGTTGACTCAATCGTTCGGGTCTTTCACGGGAAGGATTAGGAATGTGCATTCAGTGTTCACTCGATAAAAGTCTGAAACATCAGTGTTAGCTATGAAGTAAAGGCTGAAAAAATTAGTGTCACAAAAATCTCAACACTGAAAAATCAGTGTAGGTACACAAAACTAGGGTGAAAATCAGGAATTTCAGGGAAAAATTCCTGATATCTTAGGGCCTGGCCCTCATCCTTTTATAAGCGCCGGTGCTTATCCTAGGCCTGCGCTTCTATCCGGGGGCTTACGGTACCGTACCTAGAAGTAGGACTTAAAATAGAGTCAGTGTTTTTGCAAAAGGTACACTGATGCATCAGGCTTTTAAAATTCGCAACACTGACATTTCAGCCTTTTTGTTTTTTGGGACACTGAAAATCAGAGTTAACACGCAGGGGGACCCTGATGGGGTGACGACCCTAAAAGTGAATCTGAGGCCCTGCCGCTAGCCTATCCCCCTTTACCCTCCCTCCCTCCCTCCTTCCATCATCTCCCTCCCACTCCCTCCCTCATCTCCCTTCTCAGCTCACGCGCCCTGCACAAAGCAAAAACAGAGAAGCAGACACACACACGGCCTGCACACAGCAAAAGCAGAGAAGCAAACACACACACGGCCTGCACACAGCAAAAACAGAGAAGCAAACACACACACGGCCTGCACACAGAAAAAACAGAGAAGCAAACACACACACGGCCTGCACACTTAAAAAACAGAGAAGCAAATACCTTAGAAGCCGACACCCTTAGCACTAGTGCAGAAAGCGACACTCGTTTGCATAAGTAGTCCCAGCTGCCCAAGCACCAGCAGAATAGATGCTAGTGCATATGCCCTAGCGTGCTCATAAAGCTCTCTCGTGTGCTCCCTCTCGCACTCTCTCACGCACTCTCTCACGCAATCTCTCACGCACTCTCTCACGCACCGCACTCTCACGCACTCTCTCACGCACTCTCTCACACACTCTCACGCACTCTCTCACGCGCTCTCTCACACACTCTCTCACGCAATCTCTCACTCGCTCTCTCACCTGCTCTTTCAGGGCTCTCTCACATGCTCTCACACGCTCTCACGCGCTCCCTCAATCGCTCTCACGCCCTCTCTCACGCGCGCTTTCACGCGTCCCTCACGCGCTCTCTCACGCGCTCTCTCACGCGCTCTCTCATGCGCACTCTCACGCGCTCTCTCATGTGCTCCCTCACGCATTCTCTAACGCGCTCTCTCACGCGTTCTCTCATGCGCTCTCTCAAGCGCTCTCTCACGCACTCTCTCACGCGCTCTCTCACGCGCTCTCTCACGCACGCTTTCACCCACGCTTTCTCGCGTCTCTTACGCACTCTCTCATGCGCTCTCTCATGCGCTCTATCACACGCACTCTCACGCGTTCTCTCACGCGTTCTCTCACGCGCTCTCTCACGCGCCCTCTCATGCTCTTTCTCAAGCTCTCTCTCACGCGCTCCCTCTCGCGTTCTCTCACGCGAACTCTCATGTGCTCTCACGTGCTCTCTCACGCACTCTCACGCGCTCTCTCACGCCCTCTCTCACGCACTCTCTCACGCGTCTCACGCGCTCTCTCACGCGCTCTCCCACGCGCTCTCCCACGTGCTCCCTCACGTGCTCTCTCTCACGCACTCACTCAAGCGCACTCTCACTTGCACTCTCATGTGCACTCTCACTCGCACTCTCACGCGCTCCCTCACGCGCACTCTCACTCGCACTCTCACGCGCTCTCTCATGCACACTCTCATGAGCTCTCTCACGCGCACGAGCTCTCTCACGCGCACGCGCTCTCTCACATGTACGCGCTCTCTTACGCGCATGCGCTCTCTCACGCTCTCCCACGTGCTCCCTCACGTGCTCTCTCTCACGCACTCACTTAGGCGCACTCTCACTTGCACTCTCACGCGCACTCTCACGTGTCTCACGTGTACTCTCACTCGCACTCTCACGCGCGCTCTTACGCGCACTCTCACGAGCTCTCTCACGCGCACGCGCACTCTCCCGCGCACGCGATCTCTCACGCGCACGCGCTCTCTCACGAGCACGCGCTCTATTACGCGCACGCGCTCTCTTACGCGCACGCGCTCTCTTACGCGCACGCGCTCTCTCACGCGTGCGCGCTCCCTTGCGCGCATGCGCTCTCTCACGCGCTCTATCACGCGAAATCTCAGGAGCACTCTCACTCGCACGCGCTCTCTCACGCGCTCCCTCACGTGCTCTCTCGTGCGCTCTCTCACGCGCACTCTCACACGCGCTTTCCTGCGTGTTCGCTCCCGTGTACATGCTCTCCCTCGCGCTCCGTATCTCCCCTTCTTCAAATTAAAATGCAATGCGAGAGGAGACCAATCTACACAAAATCTTTACGAAGAGAGCAAAGAAAACAAAAAAGAAGGGGGGGGGGGGGGAGGGGGGGAGGAGAATTCAGTGGGGGAAGGGAGGATGAAAGGACCGGGAACGAACCTGATAATCACGGTGTTTCAGAAAACAACCCGCGCTGGCGTACCAACCCGCACTCGCGCACCAACACTCGCGCTTGTGCTCGTGCACCTGCCGCCGGAGGCGACGGCGGGGAGGGGAAAAGAGGCGACGACGAGGAGGGAAGGAGGCGACGGCGCGGAGGAGGGAGAGGCGACGGCGCGGAGGAAAGGAGAGGCGAGGAGGAGGGAGAGGCGACGGCGGGGAGGAGGGAGAGGCGACGGCGGGGAGGAGGGAGAGGCGACGGCGGAGAGGAGGGAGAGGCGACGGCGGGGAGAAAGGAAAGGCGACGGCGGGGAGGAGGGAGAGGCGACGGCGTGATGGGAGAAGAGACGGCGGCGGGATAAGAGGGAGTGGCGACGGCGGGGTGGGAGGAAATGGAGATGGCGGGATAGGACGGAGTGGCGATGGCGGGGAGTGAGGGAGAGGCGACAGGGGGGTGGGAGTGAGGGAGCAAAACGAGGCAAGAAATGGGTTTGAAAACAAGATTCGACGTTTACGTCGGATGGGTTGCGTAGAGTTGTTTCCTCGTATAAGACACATTATGATGGAGAGTATAAAAAATTTACTGATGTAAATCAAATTATAATGTTAATTTTGTTTGGTTAAAATGGGATAAGCTTTATAATTCCTCTTGAAAACATTATAGCACATATGTAGACTTTTTCACTCAGTGATTCTTCTGTGTATTAACAGAGAACTATTTAGACATTCAATGTTTTTTTTATGATTATAATAGACAATATATTTTACATCCATCTTACGGTATTGCACTTACAATTTACTATAGTGGATATTTGCTTGTGCTTTGTTTTTGTCTCTTCCTGTTTCTGCCTGCTTGTATGTGTTGGGAACAAACAATCTTAAGCACCTCTGTCGTGTCGAAACACCAAGGCACAAGCGAAGCAGAGCATATCGAGGCACCAGCGAGTCAACCCTTGGAAGTTGAAGTAACCGCTGGAGGTTACGCGAAATTCAAAGGTCAGCGACCTTTGACTTGACAAGTGCAGCGCGACAGCAAGGACACACAACTGACTCGACATTGAGCAGTTGCTCGAGTCGCACTGTATCGAACCGCAACAGCAAAACAGTTTAATTATATCTCTTCGTATTCTTTGTACTCTTATATAAACCTTTGTACTTGCTTGTTTTAATTAACTTACTTTGCCCTCACATACCAGCGCAAGGTGGTTCAAGGACTTCATTTAAACGCTTCCGCTACTACATCAGTCTACCTAGAGTTTGACCCTATTGATGTAGCCAAGGATCAGTGGATAGGATAGAATTTGTTAAGTCTGAGAGGAGACAATGAAGTCTCTGTAATGACCTTGTCGAATAATAATTGAGATAGAACAAGATGATTGAAAGATAGGAGTACAAGGGATTTAAATGGAAATCTAGCTAGCCATGTACTCTGAGGGGTACATTCCCTTATTAACTGTATTGCATAGCTACAGTAACCGTGACTATTGCTATCCTCGACAGTTACCATGTTGCAGTGAATTAACTGTCGCACGGTTACTGGATTGTCAAGAGTCACGACCGTTCACTTTCTCAGACGGTTGTCCTTCGGGTGACTCTCGACATTCCGCATGCTCTATATGAGCTATTCCGGTACTGGTACAGTGGAACATCTTCGGGAATGCTTTGTATAACCTTTCGGTTATTCCAACACTCCCCTTCATTCCTGAAGGTGGGCCACGTGGGATTTCTTGGTGATCCCGCAGAGGTCGACGCAACGTTGGTACTGCTGACGTGGTAGCTTCTTCGTTAAGAAGTCGGCTGCCATGTCACTGGTCGGGCAGTACGTCAGCTTGACTTTCCCTTTGTCGATTTCATCCTTCACGAAGAAGCAGCGAAGGGCGATGTGCTTGGTGCGGTTGACGAAGCCGGGCTTGTTCGCGATTTTTATCGCGCTTTGGTTGTCGCAGAGTAACGAGAAGCATCCGTTCATCGTCATTTTCGCCTCTTGTAGCAGCTCTATCAGGTACAGTCCTTCGCGAACAGCTGCGCTAGCTGCGATGAATTCTGCTTCTGCTGACGAAACAGCAATGAGTTCCTGCTTCTGAGAGTTCCAGGAGATGAGTCCCGCTGGTTGGAGTTGAAAAATGAATCCTGTGCGGGAGCGTCTGTTGTCAACATCTCCAGCGTGGTCGGCATCTACGTAGCCATGGAGCTGCAAAGTGGCGGTGAGGTTGGCTTCGTAAGTGAGACCGACGTCGGGAAAGGAGATGAAGTACTGTAGTGCTCGGCGTAGATCCAGTAGATTCTCCCCTTCAGGTCGCTTCAGGTACTGTGCGAGCTGGCTTGTGACGTAGGAGAGATCGGGCCGGCACGTGACGGCGGCGAACAGTAGACATCCCAGCTGCTGCTGATAGAGACGATGGTTGTCGGGAGAGAGCGGTGTGGTGTCTGGCTCGTGGTTAGGAGGAGGAGTGCGATAGGGGGTAGTGAGGTTGATTGGTGCGATAGAGAAGCGCTTCGCGAGTGTTTCGGCGTACTTGGCGGTGGAGAGTGTGAAGATAGGTAGGTAACGGTAGTAGCCATAGCTAGGACTAACCTAGCTAGGCAAGGAAGAAGTTAGGCAAAAAGGAGGAGGTTTGTACTAGCAAGCAAGGGGATACATATATGAAACCCTAAGGGGTTATACTCGCTATAGAGTACCCCAATGCAGGCTAGATAACAAATATAACATTCTGACAGAGAGGTGAATGTGTCAAACATTATATATATTGTTGTAGTTGTTTAGGCTACAGTGGGTTAGCCCACAGGGGGTGCACATTTCTAGGTTTCCATATTTGTACCCATTTCATTCTTAGTCATTTCATTTCCTTGTTCAACATGGTATAGAGCAGGTACTTCCTAGGACCGTTTTTCCTAAGGGCCCTGTCAAACATTATATATGTTCTGCTTGTGTAGGCTACAGTGGGTTAGCCTATAGGGGGGGTACACAATTCTAGGGTTTCCTACTTGTACTCATTTCACTGCTAGTTCATTCATTCCTGTTCGCTTATTCTCACATGGTATCGAGCAGGTTCCCCTGTGGGAACTGTTCGTAGGGCCCACCACTGCTACCTCTTAACCTTTTTTTCCTGCCCGGAGCGCGCTCCGGGCCCTAGTACTTCTTTTTTTTTTTTCGATCTGCCCTAGTGCTCTGAAGGCCGCCCGCCCTAGCGCCCGAGCGCCGCCGCCCTTGCGCCCTGACGGCCGCCCGCCCTAGTGCCCTGACGGCCGCCCGCTCTAGCGCCCGAACGCCGCCCGCCCTAGCGCCCTGACGGCCGCCCGCCCTAGCGCCCTGACGGCCGCCCGCCCTAGCGCCCGAGCGCCGCCCGCCCTAGCGCCCGAGCGCCGCCCGCCCTAGCGCCCTGACGGCCGCCCGCCCTAGCGCCCGTGCGCCGCTCGCCCTAGCGCCCTGACGGCCGCCCGCCCTAGCGCCCTGTCGGCCGCCCGCCCTAGCACCCGAGCGCCGCCCGCCCTAGCGCCCGAGCGCAGCCCGCCCTAGCGCCCTGACGGCCGCCCGCCCTAGCGCCCGTGCGCCGCTCGCCCTAGCGCCCGAGCGCCGCCCGCCCTTGCGCCCTGACGGCCGCCCGCCCTGACGCCTGAGCGCCGCCCGCCCTAGCGCCCTGACGGCCGCCCGCCCTGACGCCTGAGCGCCGCCCGCCCTAGCGCTCTGACGACCGCCCGCCCTGACGCCTGAGCGCCGCCCGTCGTCGCCCCAGCGCCCTAGCGCTGGACGCCCGCGAGCCGCCCGTCGCAGCCGCCCGTGAGCTGCCTGTACGCCGCCCGCCGAGCCGCCCGTGCACCCGCCCAGCGTGAGCCGCCCACGACCGCCCAGGCTGCCGTCCCCTTCTACCGGCCCCGCAACTGCACATACTGGCCCCGCCGCTGCACCTACCGGCCCCCACCACCCACCCCCCCTTTTCCCGTCGCCTGTCGAGGCGACCTGAGGGGGGCCGCTTGCAGAGGGGTGGCAGGTGTGTGGCCTCCCCTGCTTCTCCTCCTCCTTCATCGCTCACCTGCAGCAGCCGAGCCGCCCCACCGCCGAGCCGCCCTGCACCCGAGCCGCCCAGCAGCCGAGCCGCCCTGCCGCCGAGCCGCCGGGTCGCTGAGTTGCTGAGCTGCAGTTGCTGCCGAGCCGCCCTGCCGCCGAGCCGCCGAGTCACCGAGCTGCTGAGCTGCAGTTGCTGCCGAGCCGCCTTGCCGCCGAGCCGCCCGAGTCGCCCGAGCCGCCGAGCCGCCGAGCTGCCGAGCCGCTGAGTCGCCGAGCCTACTCTTCCCACCACTGGTGAGCTCTTGCCCTGCTAGCACGCTGCGCGTCGCCCGCTTGCCTGCCTGCCTGCCTTTTGGCTTGCCTGGCTGCCTGCCTTCCTGCTGCTAGTCCTGCTCCTGCTTCTACTTGCAGAGCCAGATGCAGCCCCAGCGACGCCTGCGTGAGTCCCTCACGCCCCAGCAGCTGCGTGAGTGGTACGCTGGTTGGGGCTGTAGGGGTGGCGACGCTACTCCTACTTCCACTCCTGCTGCTTCTACTCGTGGTGGCGGCCAGATGCAGCTCCCGCGACCCTCTCGCGTGTCTCTCACGCCTCGCCAGCTTCGTGAGTGGTACGCTCAGAGTGGAGGGTCTCTCAGTGCTGTTCGCTGCTCTTACGTGATTCACACTGGTACTCGGACTGGTCAGCCTTGTGGGACACGTAGTCATACACAGTCCCGCTGCTTCGCCCGTCTGAGCGACGCCTGGCGTACCGTGTTTGGCGACGAGACTGAGCTTCCCGACTGGGTGGAGTAGCTTAGGCAGAGGGTAGATATATATGCTCTTGACTATGATGCTATTCTCACTGCCATGTATGCATTGCCTACTAGTGCTGACCATGCCGCTCACCTGTGCGTCCCGCCTGACCCAGGTATAGGACCTGCTGCTCTAGCTACTGGTGAGGCTGCTGCTCTGGGTGCTAGTGAGTCTCCTGCTCCAGGTACAGGTGCGGCTGCTGCTCTAGGTGCTAGTGAGTCTGCTTCCTCAGGTGCGGGTGAGGCTGCGCTCTCAGGTACCGCGTTGGCTTCGGCCTCCCTCACCTTTACACTTGACTCTGGGGCTTCTCGCTCCTTCTTTCGGGACCGCACCACACTCACGCCGCTTGGTCGGCCGGTTGCTGTCTCCCTGGCTGACCCCTCTGGGGGTCCTGTCCTCGCTCACTTCTCCACTGTCCTCCCGTGTCCGGCTGCCCCCTCGGGCTCCCTGTCTGGCCTGTACCTCCCCTCGTTCTCGACAAACTTGGTGAGTGGTGCAGACCTACGGGATGCGGGGGTTCACCAGTTCACTCCTGCGA